CACAAATACAAGTCCTCTGTTGGCAGGACTGTAAAGAAAGCAGGCACTCATGTGTTGCTGGTAAAAGTACAAAAAAGTCTAAGGGAGAGAAATCTGGTAACGTTTAAAACAACTGATGGTCTTACCTTCTGACCCGGCTGCTCTGTTTCAGATGATATTGCATCTTCCAAACAGCAGAGAACAAAATTATTTGTTATTGTGCTTTTGTTCATGTAAGAGTGGGAACAAACCAGAAAAAATAAGATGGAAGCTGATGAAAAGTGTTATTCTAAGAGATAAAAAGAAGAGGAGAGATTGGAATAAGAGAAAGATTTCCCTCAGTATGCTTCTCAGGGGCATTTTCAGTTTCAACACATGACCGTTTATCATGTTTGAATAGTAAAATTAAACCAAAAGAGAAGGTATCTAGTTCCTAAATTCATAACAAACTGAAACAAAGGAAGCTAAGGACTATTAATCTAGAAAGCGTAACCACCGAGCCATTTTAGCACAGTACTAATTTAAAGCCTCCCCCCACCAAAACTCAGTCTAAGGACAAAATTCCTGTGATAAAAATCCTCACTATATTCCACATTTTTATTTTTATAATAGTTTTGATTATAGTATGAGCACATACATCATTATGTCAATAATTTTGGAAACATGATATTTTATTTTAATAGAGAAGATAGATTATAAAAGCAATCATGAAAATCTACAATATTAAATTTCAACTGTAAGTAGCAATGTGAATTTATGATTTTGTACACATAAGAAGCTCTAATAGCTGAAAGGCCATGCCAGCAATGGCACCTATTGCCCCATGCTGGTTTCTATGTTGCTTTCCATCAAGTTTGACCAGGAGAGCCCATGGTGAGCCTGGGTTACCTGCTATCTCAGAAAGTCATCAGGCATTCAAAGGTCAGTGGGGTCAGTGTGAGCAGATGCTGGCTGGAAGGAATTCTCAGTGACTAAGCAGGAGACATTGATATCCATTTAATATATAGAGCCTTGAGAGTATTGTTGTCCTGCACACACTAGTCATTTATTCTGCCGTTAGTATTATTATACCAACTTCTAATGAAATAATTGATCCAGGAAATGATTTTACCCAAAATTTCTGGGTGAAGTCTCCTAAGATATTGATGTAGATAAATGCATTTGCCACCAAGCCTGATCACCTGCTTTTTCTCACAGGAACCTTTTGGTGGAGGAGAAAACAAACTCCAGAAAATTGTCCTCTGATCTCTGTAGGAGCATGGACTCTACTTACAATCTCTCTCTCTCTCCCTCCCTCTCTCTCTCTCTCTCTCTCTCTCTCTCTCTCAACCTCCCTCTCTTAATATCTCTTTCTCAGTATCTCTCTCCCTATCCCTCTCTTATACACACATACACACACACACACACACACACGAGCTGTACATAACCAATAAATAAGATAAATACATCTAAAGAATTTAAAAACACATAATGGGCAACTAAGTTGAAAGTCAACACAGAATAAATATATTCCTAGCATCACAAAATATCATCCACCATTGATGGCTAATTGCTCATGGAGACATCTGTGCTATCACATATCACGTATGGTGATCAAAGTCAGCAACATAATGGTGAGATACTGGATCACTTCTTTTCTGACACAATAATGCTGGAAACACACACCTCACCACTAATGTGTTCTTTCCAAACATCTTGAGCCAAAGCCTCATCAAGCTGTAGACAAAGTATTCTTTGTGGCAGTGACAGAAACTAGAGGCACAAGTTCGATGACACCCAAGGAAGCTGTCCAGGAAATCCAGAAAAGAAATGTAATAAGGTGACTGTATGCTCTAAGGGTATTCAGGGTGGATGTACCATGGGAAGCCCACTTATCACGAGTCTGTAGAAGTGGTTGTTGTTCTCAGCTTTGAGTTGTCATGCTACATGTTCCCACCATGTTGTCCCAGAGCAGCAGGTGTACTGACTGCTTGGACTGAAATGTCTGGGCCTGTGAGCTACAGTGACCTTTCTTTCTTACAAGTGGTTGACTCAGACCTTAACCATGCAACTGAAAGCGAACTAATGATAGTGGTTGTTATGAATTCTACGTGGGGCCCCCCATTTTCCTCAAGTCTATAAGAATGATAGAACACTGGTCATAGTCAGACCAAAAATGAAGCTTTATAAGAACAAAGGAAGGTTATCTTAATCCTCTAGGGGAGTCTCTGAGCACCCCAGAAAATAAGGAACACCAGCCTTCCTGTTAGTTCTTTCTTTTTGCTGAGTTGTTCTTTAGTCTTACTTGTTCCACAGCTTATGAGGTCACACAACAGGTTAGTTACACAGAGAAACTGATCAGTAGGAATCCAGCCTGGATTCTACACATCCTGGGTAGTCTAAATATGTATGGCATATTAGGTACGTGTTATCATGTAGGCTAGTAAGCACTGGTGAAGATAGCAAGGTCTCTATGGGAAATATAGATGCTAGGGTGTGTTTGGAGGTTGATGGCATTGGTTTTAAGAATGCAACCTCACACACATGAATATGAGTCTTTCAGGAGACAGTTATCACTGTTTGAGCACTGTGGACATGGGGAAAGCATAAAATGATGCTAGCAGTAGGGAGAAACAATCCATCTGTATATCTCTGAAGGTACACAGCTGAATGTTTCTTGTGTGGCCAACTTGTCATTAAAAGCACCATAGATTAGGATTTGCTTATGGGAATAAATTTTATGTTTAGTCATGGACTGTGCTCTCAAATTTGTTGTTGATATTTCTAAATTTAGTCAATGAATGTTTAGGTTCTATTGTGTTGGAGACTTAACTGATTGCGTGATAATACTGGCATTCCAACCCCACACTTCAAAAAGCTAACCATTCTATGTGGACCCCATATGCCTATCCTAGAGATCATTACCATTTAAAACAATGTTCATGTGTGTGGTGTGTGGTAAATGCATGATGTTTTTGTATATGTGTTTATTTATCAGTGTAAATGTATGCATGTATGCATGTGGGTGGGTGTGGTCATACATGTGGAGGCCAGAGGTGGACCCTGGATACCTTTATTTGGGTACTCTTCACATTGTTTTGAGACCAGGTCTGTCACTGAATCTGAAACTCATTGACTTGGCTGTGCTGGCTAGCCAATGAGCTTCAGAGATATGTCTCTCTTGTCTATATTACCCAGTGCTGGAGTTACAGGAATCCATTGTCTTGCCCATTTTTATTTGGATGTTGGGGACCCAAACCTAGGTCCTCATGCTTATATGGCAAACACTTGGAACACAAAACCACCTCTCTGACCCAACATTATCTTCCTTTGTAAACAGTATCTTATAAATGCTTATTTTACTTTCTTTCCACATTCACTTCTACATTAAATGCTTATCTTTTCAGTCATTATTTGTTTTAATCTTGTAAGCTAGTCCACAGCTTTTCTGGGATATATATATGGGGAAATAGACAGGATCTATATAAATATATAAAATGAGGTCATGACTGAACAAAGGGGAGCTCATGGACCCCCAGAATTATAGCTGGAAAACCAGTATTATTCCAACTCAGACCCCCTGAACATGGGTCTAATTAAAAGGCTTGGGCAGACTAAGGGACCTCTGACAGTGGAACCAGGACGTATCCCTGGTGCATGAAAGTACCTTGGGATCACATTCCCTATGGAGGGATATTCCCTTAGCTTCGAGACGGGCCAGGGAAGGGGGGCTAGACCCTACTTCAAATGACTTTTGATGATCCCCCCTGGAAGGCATCACCCTCCCTGTGCAGTGGGGTGGGGGAATGGGATGGGAGGGGGACCGGGGGGATGGGAGGGAGGGAGAGTAAACTGGGATCAATATTTAAAATAAGAAAAATTAATAAAAATGATTAGAAATGGAAATGAAAGAACATAAAAAAATGAGGTCATGATGATATTTCTATACCACCTCATAGAAACTCAAAGTATAATGCTACTAGCAAAAGTGTTTTGACCAAATAGATATCATTATTGATAATGCTTTATTGTGAAAAAATAATTTTATATGCAGACTTTGAATAGAGAGCATGCATCCTACATTATTATATTTTGTAGAGCCTGAGGCTCATTCAGCAGAGATCATTGGTTGGTCACCCATTTTCCTTGTGGTGCTGAGATTGAACTGATGCCAGGCAGGTGCACTGCCACTCAGCTCTATTCCCAGCCCATAGCTGGCAGTCTCCTTTCACTTTTGAAAAGTATTCTGTAACTGGCTTCACATCCCATTCTGCCCAAGCAGCACCAGTGTCCTGAGTTTTGAACTGACCATGGCCCAGGGGCTTTAGGAAGTGCCAAGACTGCTTAGCTTTAAGAGGTACAACACAGCAAACCTGGAGACTTCTGGCTCAGATATAGATGCTAGACTCAGGATACTTTCCTTTCACTATGTACCTTCAGCGCTTGAAATCACTAGAGGAGATAGAGAGCAAGTAGGTAAACTTGATTTATGAGTCACTTACTCTGGAGATCTTGGTCCTTTGTCCTTGCTGCTTAGACTCCTCAGGCTAAACACAGAGTGTCTTCTGTCAACAGAGCAAATCATTGGTGCAGGTTAGCCAGGCAGTGAGGTGTAGGTGTTTTGTCTTCGTTTCTCCAATGAGTTTTTCTTTTGGGATATTTCTGTAATTTTTTGATTTAATGCTATAGGATCCCAACCAAAGGGAAATTTTCTTTGTCCTTCTAAACAAATCATCATAAGCCCGCTATGAAAACCACACATCCTCCTCAGGTTGGTAGACAAAGCTTGGGGTCTAGCTTGTAGTTGTTCACTGATAAGAATTTACCTCATGAACAGTCAAGTTTAACTTCTTATTTTTATTTTTCTTCACAGTTGGGTGATTTGGTATGAATCAAGTTTATAAAGAACAAATGATTTGCAATCATTACAAAGTAATTTATATGATAACTTATATCAAAGGCCTTTGGGCTCTATGCTGATGAAAGGTATGATGATTTTAACATAAAAGTTCTTAACTGTTTTCTTTTAATCCACATTTCAGATTATTTGAATACATTTTGCTCTATAAGGATGGAGTGATGTTTCAGATTGAACAGGCTACCAAACAGTGTGCAAAGATCTCCTTGACAGAACCCTGGGACCCTCTCGACATTCCCCAGAATTCTACCTTTGAAGATCAGTACTCCATTGGGGGACCTCAGGAGCAGATTACAGTCCAGGAGTGGTCTGACAGACGGACAGCCAGATCCTGTAAGGAAGGGAAGGATTAGTGCATTGAATCTCAGGGTGTATGTTGGGGAGTACTGTCTTCTAAGTACCTTAAGGAAGGTAGTTTTTAGGAAAACTTAAATGCTTAGATGAATTTTAAAGTTCATGCAAGTCTCTGTGTGTATTTTGCAACTGTGTGTAACTGCTTTCTTAATGGGTCATTGAAATACCTTCATCTTCTAGTGTCACTTGCATGTCTCTGTCACTTTGGATGTTATGGACTCACCCCACCTGTAGACTTTTCATGATCTCCATGAAGACTGTGACCCAAAAGGAATTCTTTCCAAGAATACTCCTGGACTAGGTGCCAACATTTCCATCCCCACTATAGCTTCCTAAAACCACAGTGTCCTGATCTGATCCATTATTCTAAATGTAAACAGATATGCTTTGATACATAACTATTCCTTTTAATTCTGAGGTTGTTTTGAAACACGAAGAGTAGACATTCAGTCTGTGAGAAGCAGTGTGGGATTTAACCAAAATATTAAGTGTAAGATTGTCATATGTTCCAGAGCATCCAACTCTGAACATATACTCAAAAGAATAATTACAGGAACTCAAACATTTAGTTGTACACCTTTGTTTATAGTGGCTTCATTCCTAGCATTAAACTGTTGGAAACAACTCAGATACTATCAGCAGATAAATGGATAAATATGTGATACAACCCCACAAGAGAATAGTTTTCATCTTTGAAAGGAAGGGATATGAACTCTGGCATATGTAATGACATGAATACATCTTGAAGCCATTATGTTAAGGGAAATAAGCCTGTCACAAATGATAAATACTGTGTGCATGAAGTACCCAAATCTATCAGACAGTCACTAGCAAGGTTTTGGAGGAGAGAAAGACGGGAAACCATTGGACAAGTAAGAGTTTTCAGTTTGGGAGAGTTGCAAAGGAAGTGGTGATAACTGCAAAACAATGTGAATGCCTCCAAAATGCATCCTTACAAAGTTAAAAGATTTTATTCTGTTGGCTGTATTTTACCACAAAAAAGTATAGGAATTTTGCCTAACTTCTCTCTGAAAACGTCAACTTTTTTCCCTCTTTAGATGAAACTTGGATTGGTGTTTATACAGCCAAGGATTGTTATCCAGTCCAGGAGACCTTCATCAGGAATTACACCGTGGTCCTGTCCACACGCTTTTTTGATGTGCAGATAGGCATTAAGGACCCTTCTGTGTTCACCCCACCAAGTACATGCCAGACAGCACAGCCAGAGAAGATGAGTGAGGACTGCTCCTGGTGAACTTGCTGGGACAGAAACGACACAGGGCTCTTAGTGACCTGTCCAGAAATGGATTAGAGACTGGTTTGGTTGGAAATAAAGATAATTTTAGGAGGATACACCTGATGTGGGTTTTCTTGTACATCTGACTCTGGCTGCTCAATTTCATGGCAGCCTCAATTGGCTGCCAGGGACACTTCGCACACTTCCAATTCCTGTTTAGGGCTGTCCTTTCTGTGTGCGGGTGTGTAGTCTGTGTAGTGGAATAGGAAGGGAGGGGTGACAGTGGGTACATGGAGTTTGCCTCTGCAGGGATGAATATTTTATTATTGTCAATACGAACTGAGGGAGATAATAAAATGTAGAATGATTTCATTTATCTGCACCAGAGTGGCAACAGACCCCACCCCTACCTTTGGCTACTGCAAAATGACTCTTTAAGATTCCTTCCAGGCTTGAAATTTGGGGCATGGCCCAATGAATGTTGATATTTTGCAAAGAGGTGGGAGGTTATAATAGGGAGTAATGATTCCTCTGAACGAAAAAAGCAAGTTTTAAGCAAGAGACTTAGGTAACCTTAGTATTGACATGTGAGTTGAAGAGCTGCTTTCTGTGAGCAGCTTTCTGTGCTAGAGCTCTGATTAGTGAGATGGACCTTTATGTATTTTTTAGCAAGCAGAAAGGCTTCTAAAATAGCACTGAACTTGGCGCCCTGCTGAGTCGGGACTAGAATTCTCTTTAACCCTTAACTCCTTTAAGTACTAAATGCACTAGGCTAGCTCTTGCCTTGATTTCCCTGGAACTTGATTGCACTACAACTGTGTCAATATAACTTCTGCTCATGCTTCTCAGGTCACATGTGACCTTTGCAAGCTGCTTCCATACCTGCTTTCATTGCACCTTGCTGCTTGGCATGCCTTGCTCACAATACTCTGCTGTGTGAAGATTTCCTGATTACTGGAAACTGCCCTCTGCTATCCTGACTAAGAGCCCCTTGAGTACGGGTATCATGTTCTGTTTACTTTAGTATCTTTAGCATCAAGCAAGTGCCTGGCACAAGTCCGTGCCCTTAACATTTGTTGGTGTTCAGTTTCCTCATCTATTAAGCAGGGTTGGGTTTTCTGATTGCTAAGAAGACTTCCAGTAACACAACTTAATATTCTAGATTCTTCTGTGTCTGTGTCTGTGTTTCATTTGGCAATGTATCATTTTTAGTTCTCAAGAAAAATGTGTTATGCTTGCTTTATGATGAAAATGATCTATATTGTAATTCATACACTTAAATTTAATGACATGTCAAAAATTGTTTTTTCATGTGTTTGTTTCTGTAATAACTGTGGATGAACTCAATTATAAGAAAGTTAAAACTCTGCTGTAATAAATGAATAAAACTCTTCCCATAATAAAAACTAGGTTGGTTATCCTGTCTTCAGAGCTTGCTAAGTCTCACCTTCCCATAAGTCTAGTTTTCAGTTGCCTGGGTCAGAAGGAAGCTACATAGCCTGTCTTGATTTGTTTTTCTCTCTCAGTCCTCACTGCTAGTCTGAACCCCAGCTAACATCAGAGTGTAGTTCTTACAGCTACCACTTGTATAAAGCTATCACTAGGTCTGGGTTCTTGACATTCTTGGCTTTGGCAGGAGTAGTTACACTTACTAATTTTTCTCTGGTCTGTTTTCGAGGAACTACCTTGTTCTTGTTATCTGTAATTCATTCATAATTATAAACCAATATCAAGTTCTTGCCTTCTGCAGCAGCTGAACCGATTCCTGGGATCACAAAGGGCAGTGAAGGCCATCCAGGGACCAAGAAGAATGGCAAAGTTGCATTCCAAGAGTTCCAGTCTACAAAGAATTTGTGGCAGTGTTTGCCCACTTCCCACCCACAGAATAGCCTTTGTCCAGTCAAACCACAGATCTTTGCTCAGCCCTGAGACTCTGGCCACATCCCAGACCATGTCCACAATCAAAGCAGGAAGTAAACACTATCTTATTCATGGACATAGAAAGTCAATGTGTGTCCCTTTTTCATTTGACCCATTCCAGTAATTAAACCCTTTCACAGAAACTAATACAAAGCCTGAAGGGTGCTTGGGTACTGTATTTCCCCATTACCTAAACTGGCAGCGGAGCCCCCACAGACAGAGCTTTTATACTGGACTGATTGCTTTTCATCATCTCTGTAGCAATAAAGCCTGGGTGACATGTTGGGAGGGTTTCTTTAGTCAGCAGTCCATAGAAATTTGCTAGCGGCTCTCTGTAAATGGAATTCTAATCAGTCTATACAGATCATATACAGAGGAAAATGCTGAGAGATCAAGGAGAAGGAGCAACCCAAAGCCACCTTTACCTCATTAGCTTCCCAGTGGAAAAGAGAGTGAGTGTGAGTGTAGTGGGATAGTCCTTCTGTGGCACTGACCATGCCCATTGGGGGGTGAAGCCATGGGCGGAGGTGACCTGTGGAAGGAGGTCGGAGAGAGAGCCGGGAAAAGCTCTCTTGCTGGCCTGACTCGGACAGGAGAGCATTGGGTTGAATTTCCTGGTGTTCATCTCCCTGAATAAACATTTATTCGGCCTATTTGTTTATCCTGATCCTTATTTAACCACAATACCTGGTGTCAGAAGTGGGTTGGGCGCCATTTGTAACTATACAGTTTTTCCGCCCGCCGCCGAGTCTTGTCCCGCCGCCACGCCAGCCCCAAATAATGCACAGAGACTCTGTATTAGATATAATTCTGTTGGCCCGGTTACTTGTTTCTTATCAGCTAGCTCTGCCTTAATTATTAACCCATTTTTGCTGATCTATGTATTTCTCTTACCGGGGAGCCAGCCGGCATACTGCTTTCTCCAGACTCTCCATCTTGGCTCCTCGGCTCCTCCTTACTACTTCCTCTTCCTCCTTGTCTCCTAGTCCCTCCTATCTTCCTTTCCTATTGGCCAACAGTGCTTTATTTATTAACCAGTATGAGAAACATATACAGAATGACATCTCCCATCAAGTGAGTTTCTGTTTTCTTCCTGCTTCTATCCTCTTTCTGCTCAACCATCACACTTCCTGTTTCCACCCAACTATCTCACTTCCTGTCTGTCTTTACAGACTTCCAGACCTCTATGGTTGGCTAGTCTCTGAACTTCAGACAAGTTTTATTTGTGTAAGCAAGATATCACCACAGCCATCTGTCAAAATAAAGAGGTTTATTAAATATGACCAGAACCAGGACTACACCTAATAAAAAGGAGTAGACAGTGAGCATGGCATTGGGAAGGATATTCACATCTGCTAACTTTTTCTCTGACCTGTTTTCCAGAAACCATCCTAGACTGAAGAAAAGAAACTCACTGCCTAGATTCAGAGGAAAACACTCACTTCCTGGGCTATGAGGAAAACACACTCTCCCTGGGTTACGAATGAGATAGAAGATTTCCTTTTTGCCTCCAATGGAGAGATGGCTCCAAATGATCCCAGAGTCACAGGGCTCAGTGGAAATGTGTAGTTTTGGAGTAGACATAGGCCATTCTACTTCTGAAACGTGGCATTACTTATGCTAACAATGAGAGTCAGATAGAATTGGGCCAACTTGGTGGACACCCTGGCCTTCCTGATTCTTTATTATTCACTGGAACAGTTTATTTCTACCCCTCACAAGTCACTTTTGCAGCTTCTAAATTGCTGGGAATCTTAAAAATACCAGGGAGTGTTCAGCCCCAGCTGCCTTCCACTCTGCCTGGCTGATAAAAGTGCCAACCTAACATAGAGCCATCACATGCTCTCTGCACCAGGCTATCAGAGTCAAAGTGCCTGCCTGGGCATTCTGGTTCCAACCATTCTCTTAAGAAGATGACTTTCTTTCTTTCTTCCTTTCTTTCTCTCTTTCTTTTTTTCAGTATCTAATCATAATCATTCTATTTTTAGTTTTTCTTTTTTATTTTTATATATTTTTTCTTATTTTACATATCAATCCCAGTTCCCTCTCCCTCCGTCCCTCCCTGTCTCCCACCCTTCCATGCCCCTCCCTCCCACCACCATAGCATCCCATTGCCCCCCACAATCACCCCACTACCACTCCACAGGGAGGGTGATGCCTTCCAGGAGGGATCAACAAAATCTCTCAAGTCATTTGGAGTAGGAACTGGGCCCTCCCTCCTGCCTCTAGATTAGAGGAGTATCCCTCCATGGGGAATGTGCTCTGAAAGTCTTTTTGTGCACCAGGGATACATCCTGATTCCACTGTCAGAGGTCCCTAAGACTACCAAGGCCTTCTAAGTGAGACCCATGTTCAGGAGGTCTGAGTCAGTTCTGTGCTGGTTTCCCAGCTATCAGTCTGGGGCCCCATTAGCTCCTCTTTGTTCAGGTCAGCTGTCTCTGTGGGTTTCTATAGCCTGGTCTTGTCCTCCTTCTCTGCATCTGGATTCCAGTTCAGGTAAGTGTCTAGCTATGGGTGTCTGCTTCTGTTTCCATCAGCTACTAGATGAAGGCTCTATGATGGTGGATAAGTTAGTCATCGATCTCATTATTAGGGAAGGGCATTTACGGTAGCCTTTCCACTATTGCTCAAATTGTTAGTAGGGGTCAGCCTTGTATGTCTCTGGACATTTCTCTAGAGTCAGTTTTCTCTTAAAACCTATAATGGCTCCCTCTTTTATGCTCTCTCTCTCCTTTCTCTCTCTCTCTTCTCTCATCTATTTCTCCCATGACTCAATCTCCGAGTCCAACATTCCTTCCTCTCCCCCCCTCTTCTTTCTCCTATGCCCCTCTCCACTCACTGCCCCTCCACTCCCAATATGCTCAGGAGATCTTGTTCTTTTCCTCTTCTGTGAGGGACCTTGTATGAACCTCTTAGATTCCTTCTTGTATCTCTGTGTGTGAATTATAGTCTGGTGATCCTTTGCTCTATGTCTAAAATCCATATATGAGTGAGTACATACCATGTTCCTCTTTTTGTGACTGGGTTACTTCATTTAGGATGGTTTGTTCAAGTTCCATCCATTTGCCTGGAAATTTCAAGATGCTATTGTTTTGTTTTGTTTTGTTTTCTGCAGAGTAGTATTCCATTGTGTAAATGTGTCACATCTTTATCCATTCTTCAGTTGAGGGCATCTAGGTTGGTTGTTTCCAGGTTCTTGCTATTACAAATAATGCTGCTACGAACATAGTTGAACAGATGTCTTTTTTTGCATGGATGTGGATCATTTGGGCATATGCCTAAGAGGGGGATTGTCAGGTCCTGTGGTAGACTGATTCCCATTTTCCTAAGGAACTGCAATACTGATCTCCAAAATAGGTGTACAAGTTTTCACTCCCACCAGCAGTGGAGGAGTGTTCCCCTTTATCCACATCATCTCCAGCCTAAGTGGTCATTGGTGTTTCTAATGTTAATCATCCTGGCAGGAGTAAGATGGTATCTCAAAATTGTTTTGATTTGCATTTCCCTGATAGCTAAGGATGTTGAACACTTTCTTGAGTATCTTTCAGCCTTTTTTTTTATTTCCTCTATTGAGAATCCTCGCTTCAGTTCTATACCCCATTTTTTAATATGGTAATTTGGTATTTTGTTGACTAGATTGTATATTTTGGAGATTAGCCCTCCATTAGATGTAGGGTTAATAAAGATCTTTTCCCAGTGTTTGCTGTCGTTTGGTCTTATCAACTGTGTCCTTTGCCTTACAGAAACTTCTCAGTTGGAGGAGGTCCCATTTATTAATTGTCAATCTCAGTGTCTGTGCTACTGGAGTTATGTTCAGGAAGCAGTTTCCTGTACCAATTTGTTCAAGGGTACCTCCCACTTTCTCTTCTAAGAGGTTCAGTGTGGCTGGATTTATGTTGAGGTCTTTGATCCATTTGGACTTGAGTTTTGTACATGGTGATAGAAATGGGTCTTCTTCTATACACCATCATCCAGTTGTGCCAGCACCATTTGGTGAAGATGCTTTCCTCCTTCCATTCTTATCAGAAACTTGGCCATATGTGACTTCTTAAAATTGCAACTTCATACACATATAAAATTATTCAAATATTTAAAGAGAGCCAAAAGTTATGTCTCTGTGGAAATGTTCCACGAGGCACATGCAATTCACTATTCAACTAAGTTCACATCACTTAAAAGCTCCCAATTAGCTCTTGCTGGATTCTTTATCATCTCTGTTCTTAACATTCCCATTATTCTTTTCAGGCACGGTGCTTTGCCCATACCACCCATGGTGTTTTCAACTTTTCCAGGTACATAGATCTAGCCTTCCTTCAGCCACAAAAGTACCCCAACTGAATAAACAATGCATCTGTCATTCCTTTCTAGTCCAAATAATTTCACAAATTCAGTTGGATGTGAGCCAAAGATTTGTGAATAATTTTTAAAAGCCACTTTAAAAGCAAATGTAATTTTATGGATATCCTGGCATCAAAAACCATCTCTTTTGCCAACATGGCTAT